GTGAGGCAGAATAGAATGGTGATAAGATCCTAATGTACTCTAAAACATGGATATATGCATTACATGTGTGTAGTTCATGACATGATTCTCTGCACGTGAACCAACTTATGCTTTCTATGCTAGATAAATTTTAGTGATTAGTCACAATGCTTTTTATATTCCTTGCTGCCACAGAGCTGCCTTTGAAATCAGGGTCCTAAATCAATTATCAAAAAAAATGCATAGCAGGGGTCATGAACCTTTGACATTCCAGACTTTTTTGGACTAAAATACTCAGAATCCCCAACGTGTATTACCAATAATAAAGGGCTATGTCAGCTATAGTCCAAAACATTTGGAATGCCAGAGGTTTGCCGTTCTGGCATAAAATGTGCAAAATTGGGGGGTTCATGCTTGCTTTCATTTACAAATGAGATTGGCACTAACTGGAATAAAATACAAACAGTTTGCTGTTGCATATGAACATGGCAAGATGCAGTTTACACAAAACTAGGATAAAACTGTGGTTTGCTGCTAACTGCAATTAGACAATTCAGATCATGGTACCTGGGGAAAAGAAAGAGCAACTCAGTCCAAGGTTTATATCCTTATATCTACCTAACACAAAATATGATCTGGCTTTATGTGAGAACAAAGCATTTATGTTCCTGTACCTCTGATAATAAAGTGCCATTAAAAAAAATAAGAAATTAACCAGAGTGTCTGTTAGTACTATAATGTTCAAGAAAAAAAACACAATGGCACCTAATTAACAAACACAAAGGCAAATCCAAGCCAGTCTAAGTCAGTGCACACCTCCATACACACCTGCGTTCTTTTGCCAATTACAATACTTACAATACTTTTTTTGATAAGTAGACTATGGTCAATATGTTAAAGAGTAAGTAAAACTTCAGTTACCACTGAAAAGATAAAATGATCGAAACACCAACAGCCCAGCAGTGAAATTAGGAAAAAAACTAATGCTAACCAAAAAGCAAAAGAAAGCACTACAATACAATATATTTAACATAATTAATCGTATCAGATAGTTTTCACATTTAATAATCACCTGCAATTTCTGTTGTCTCCAACTTACATTATCCATCGTTCAACTCTGTAAAAAAATATGAGGGTAGATACTACTTTTCCATTGCACTGTAACTGATACATATGGCTTGAAATCTTGTAAAGGGACAAACAATTGTCTATACAAGCAGGGCAACTCTTGCTAACTTAGCTGATCTTATAGTACTCTACCATGCAGATGAGGAAGAAATCACAGGCTTCAAAAAGTGTACAATAAGCCACCTTGTGATTGAAAAAAAAAGATACGCTTATAGTTATCACTATTTAGAAGATAGCTATACTAGTTTTGGTTTATGTCACTAAGACAACAAGCTTCTTTCGGCCACCAGCACTGAAGTGTGAACATTTCTGCTGGTAAATATGCTCTACATAAGTCTGAGCTGGGTGGCTCAGTGATTTGGGTACTTGGCCACAGAGCCCAAGGTCAGGAGTTTCGTTCTCTATTATGTCTCCTGGAAGAAGAGCCAATGTGTGTATCCTTAGACAAGTTGCACAGTCCCAGGGCACCCCCAGGATACAAGCACAGTAAAGCACTTCTGAGAACTCTATACAAAATCTTGGGAAGAGTTGTCATAAGTCAGAGTTGACTTGCTGGCATGTAAGCATTGTTTTTATTAAATACATTTGGGGCAGAACGCTTTGAAGAAGTGCCTTAACATCTCCTTTTATAAACAGACAGTAAAACTTGTATTTTGGGCCTTCAGATGAACACTACTGTACATTGGAACATGGGAAAAATCCTTCTCCATTGTGGCACCAACGCAGGAAGCTCACAAGGGTCCTTCTCCTTTAGCCAATGAGGGGAAAGCCACTTTTAGCGTTCAGAAAGACAGCCTAATGATTGCACCATTTTCAGCCTGATTTTATCTTTCTACTTATTGTCACAATTTGCTTATTGGTGCACCATCAATTTTCACTACTTTCATTTTCATATTATCATGTTACTGAGATTTTAATTTATATGCTTTTCATCTGCACTGTAAGATGCCTTTGCATCTCTCGGGCTAAGAGGTGACACCTAAGTCTTCTTAAACAAATAAAAGCCACCTGTTCAACATCCGATAATGGCTTTTAAAAGCTGTTATAAATACAGTGCCCTTCTACAGTACTAAAAGAGGACCTGAGTGGATGGGAGACAAAGCTAACACAACTTGGTAAACTGAAATAGTCAAGCTCCCTCTAAGTAGTGCTTTCTGCATCTCCCTCTTGCCTCCAGAAAGGCTTTTGTACAAGTGCACTGCCCTGAGGTAACCGAAGCAGATCAAGGCTGAACTCATGGCTGAAAACAAAAGGAGAATGTAACAGAAGAGGAACACATCAGGGAAGAAGACACTAGCTCAAAAGCAGGTCATGTTTTTCCTCCCTTTCACTCCATCTCCCTCATGTCTCCCTTCTTTTGCTCTGTAAGACATTAGGCAGGTACAGTACTGCCTAATTACTGACTTTAGTAAGCTGCCCTAAAGGCCTGTTTGGACTGAAGAATGGGATAAATACATTTTAAATAAACAAACTAACAATGATTGAGAACTGTATCTAGAAGGTATCCAGATTAAATTTCCCTCTTACCAGTCAAAACTATAAATAAAACTTTTCTTGTACTACTAACTTCATTTATCCCTGAACCAAGTAAACAGATACAGAAACTGACAAGTACTTCAACACCGCAATTCTATGCAATTTACAAGGGTACTTCTCATTAAAAACAATGAGGCTTCCTTTCTGTCCTAAATAAAACCATGCATGTTCACTTTGTATTCTCATCTGCTGAACAAGAACCTTTTTCTATGGAAAATTTTACTTACTCCATCAGATACATTAAATGAAGGTAGACTGACTTCAGGCTTGATATACAACACCTTTGTGTTTTTACCAGAACCCTAAAATCCTTCAGCAGGAAAAAATAAGAGATTTATAAAGCTGTCTTTTTTTAAAATTCAGAATCGTCATTTAGGATGAAAAATCATTCTGCTCCTCCTATTGTCAAACACCCAACCCTTGCCAATCCATTACAAATTACCCACAGAAGAAACTATAGAAGTGATATCCACAATAACTGTATCAAAATGAGAAACTTAACTGCAAACATATTTATCCAATACCTTGGGATACAGAAAGCGGATAGAAAAGCACAAGTTGTGTGCTACTTTTATTTATTTATTTATTTTGCCCAGTTAAAAAAGGTAACCTTGAATAGCTAAGTAAACTCCAATAACCATACAAAATGCCACCTATAATCTAACTGCTCCCTTGTCCTTGTTGACACAACTCTTTATTCAAGAGAATTAAATCCAAGGAGAAATGGAGTTGCTGCAGAACATGCATTATTTTCATAAACTAAAGGAAAATCTGAGTGATCACCAGATAGACAGATTTGAAAGAGAGAGATCTGTTTTGCCTCCTGGCTAACACCTTAAGGAACTAATATACAAACTATAAGACTCACCATACATTTAAATCTAAAGTCCCATGAAGAAGGATGCTAAGGATAACATAAAAAACAGCATTAGTATAAACTGTATCTTAGCCTTCTTCCCCAAGACACTCAGGCTGATATATTTCTGTGAGTAGAGAGAGCATATTCTCTTCCAAATCTTAGTTCTGTGAGGTTACAGAATAATCACTTTAAAGACTTACAGAATTTATTTTTAATCAGCAAACTATTTCCCAGGTACAATAAACTTTATAGTCCATTGCAAACATACCCCTCATACACAGGAGTAAAGAACAGAAATTTAAAGAGTTTCATCAAAAGGCCATGAAATACCTGAGATCCACCTTGTGCATTTCATGGTCACCCAGTTCCAATGATTACAACAGGAGTGAACAACATGTTACAAAAAACTGTAAGAGGTTATCGGTCTGCAATTCCCATGATCTCTCTCTTTCTCTCACCGTTAAGACATGCTGGCTAGGGATGACAGGCATTCTAATCAAATAATATTTGGAGGGTCACAATTGGCCATACCTGAATTATAGGCTTTCCCCCTCAGAATTAATAATGATGATGTGCTGTTAAGTCAATTCTGAGTTGTGCAGCCTTTTTCAGTGTTTTCCAAATAAATTCCCTTCTTCTCAGGGTACCCTGGGACTGCATAGCTTGCCCAAGGCTACACAGGCTGCACACAAGGCACCCAGTCTCTGACTCCACAGCCCGATACCTAAACCACTGATCTATCCAGCCACACATCTGCATATACATTTCTTCACCAAATGAGCACAAACACTTCATGCATTTTACTTCTGCTAGTCCCCCATTTTACTTCTGCTAGTCCCCCATTTTACTTCTGCTAGTCCCCCATTTTCAATAATTGAAAGTGTTAAGTTTCCAAGGTGCCTCCTGATGTTCTTTATACGTGTCTGCATTTGTGTACACATTTGCACGGCCAAGAAAGACTAGCCCTACTGTTGTATGGAGAGATATGTATCCATGTGTAATATAGATGTACACAGATGTGCACATCTATAGATACAGATGTAGCTATGGACATCCATCTATATATATTATCCCTCTCTTCTAAGCATGGCACTCGAACCCAACCCTCCAGACTATTGCTCGCCTATGACTCTTATTAACCCTCACCTAAAATTTGGCAGGGTGATGGGAGAGGCAGCCCACAAAACGAGGAAAGGCTGCAGCTCCCCACCCCTCAGCTTGCCTATGGCAGCCGCCTCTGAGAGGTAAGAGCCCCCATCATCCCCGAGAGACTCCAAGCCCGCGGCCAAAACGCGGAGAGAGATGCTGGGAGGGAAACCGACCAGAAAAGGCCCTTTCAGAGGCGCCACCTCGCGCCCCTCACCTCCCCCCCACCCGGTGTGCCCCAAACCGCCT